ACCTTGTTGTTTTTCACTGTAATACATTTTTAAACTCTTCATAGCTCTCTATTATAACAACATGCTTCTCATAACTGAAGAAGGCAGCATGCTATCAGTACACGTGCTGCAGAAGAAGAGTTATATAAAGCGTCAAATGCTGCATTAAGGGAGTGAAAACCTTGCTAACAAAGAACTTTATATTTACTGTCGTAATACCCAATGTCTCCAAATGGGGTTTTAGAATTTGTCGCGCCATCTTATACAAAGAAAGCTTAGCAATGTCAAAATAAAATGTCTTACTTTGTGACATGCCCACTTTGATGGAAATCTTCTCACCAAAATAGGGTTTTGATTATGATGTCTTGCTACAAACGCATTCAGGGAATTCAGACACACATCAGCCTGTGTAGGTATTCGTCACAGCTATGTTGAATGTTGACTGCTGCACATGTGCAAGTTGTCCATGCAGCGCTCTAACCAATGACTAATCATCATGACATGACTGAAGCCATTTGAGATCATGGGTTTCAGAGCACAGTGGTGCTGTTGTCACATTGTGCCTGAAAACTTTGTCTTAGGTTTGGTGCAACCCAGTTAAGCAACTCGCTAGTTTGGACTTTCTGCACGAAGTTAAGCCCCATTTGTTAACTTTCATTTGGTGAACTCTTCAGGATGTGGTCCAAAAAAATAGCAAGCAAACACAAATACATTTCCATAACTACACTTAAGTAAAAAGATTCCTCCATCACACATCATCACGTTCTAAAATATGCAAATCTGTTCATCTGCTTTCCTTTGCTAACCTAGTTTTTTCCTTTTCTTCTCTCCTTTTTTCTCTGTCCTTCCTTTTCTCCTCTCCTCTCCTCTCCTCTCCTCTCCTCTCCTCTCCTGTCCTCCAGGATACAGCACAAGTCACTCTCGCTGCTCCAGCCTGACTGACCTCAGTCACCATAGGAACGCCTCCTCCAGCAGCAGCGCCTCCTGTGGGTTAGCCCACCCTTCACTGCCACCTCCCTCCACCTCCACTGCACCACATCAACCAGCAACTCCCACCAAACCAGAGAGACCACCTCCACCCTCTGCAGCAGCCCTCATGTCCAACAGGTCCTCCAGGTAGACGCACACACACATCTGCACTTTTGACTAAACACACCTGTTGCTGCATGTCCTCTTGAGTCACTGATGTCACTGAGGCATGCCAGGACTCGTGGTGCTGATCAAAGACTGCGGTTGAATTCGAGGCATGTGAAAATATACATGCCTGGAATTCTTCAGGAATTTATTCCAGTCTGAAAGAAGGCGTGTGTGATGTGTTCTGCTGGTTATGTGAATGTCGACAACAACTTCATACATAGATGTTAGTCAGGGTGTGGGCTACAATATACTCACAGCGAAGACTTCAAATTGTACAAAGTTTGTGTTCATTCACATATACTCACACAGTATACAGCAGAACATCCCTGTGCAATATCACTTAAAAGTCAAATATTCAAAATTGTATCACCTCCCAAAAATTTTATTATTTCCAATTTGACAAGTATATTATTTCCTCTTGTGAACAATCAAAACAAATGCTTTAGAAAGACTATATTTAAAAAAGAGGCCCCCAAATTAGAAACTCAACAAAAGCATGCCTGTGATTCCTGACATAGAAGTTAAGACATCTGTGATAATTGTAACAAAACTGAGTACTAGCAATCTGCCTATTTGCATCAACATGGATTTAAATGGGCCGTATTTATCTGCATGTCAGCATCATGTCTCCACATAGAAAAGAGTTGTAAGAGGAACTAAAGAATGTGACTGTGAGACTTCACAACGCTGGAAAAAGATAGTGGAAGATCAATAATCAACTAAAAATCTGTTTCAAAGTTACAGCAGTAATCAGGAGACACAGAACAAGTCATAGTGCCACTAATTTAGAGCCACAGCAGTTGTCCTCCAATAATGATGCCACAGATAGACTTCCGTAATCTAGTTCTGGAAAGTAAACATGCAATTGCTTCAGACTTGATACATTATGAACCTGAGCAGGACTACCACAAGGAATGCTTGGTCCTGACAGTGAAGCACGGAGGTAGGCGTGTGATGATATGGGGCTGAAAGAGTGCAGAAGGTGTTGGAGAGATGATATTCACAGAGGGCACCATGAATGTCTGTGGATACACCAAAATACTGACTGACAAGATCAAGATCTGTAGAAACCTGGGCAGAGAGGAGCATGATAATGATCCAACATACTCTGACAAAAATCACACAAGATTTTCTAAAGAAGAAAATTGTAAAGACCTGCTGAAATAAATACCTGTGAAGACATTTGTGCAACACTAGTATCCTCCATGCTGAAGAAGGTCGAGTCTGTCGTCAAAAATACAAGTGGACACATGAAGTATTGAAAAAATATAAGATTTGAATGTCAGTAATGAAAGGTGTACTGACTTTTGTTGCATTGAGTTTGTGGTGTATGGCTTTTTAATATAGTAAATTTGTTCATTTTTGATTTTCATTAAGAACAAATACCTACTGTTCAACTTAGAAATAATCCAGCTACTATAAGATGGGATACGGTTAAAACATTATGAAGTAAAACTTTGTGTCTGACCGTTGTTGTGTTTCAGACAGGAATCTTAATTCTCTTGTGTTTGTGTTGGCCATCAACAGGAGGAAGAAGGACACTGTGGAGAGGCAGCCCAGCTGTGTGGACGACACTCGCATTGATGCAGGTGACATTGTGGAGAAGATCGTGCAGAGTCAGAACTTCTCTGACAGCAGCAACAACGAAGGTTGGATGGAGTGTTATTTATTTGGTTTTGGTTTTAGCACACTTGAGTATCACAGTGGTAACCTTTGTTTCATCTACCTTCAGACAGCAACTTAAGACTGTTTGTCAGCAAAGATGGGACCACGGCCCTCAGTGGGACGCAGCTCGCCAACAGGTACACTCTGGATATGTAGCTTCATGTGTCTTTTTACCACCACGGTTTCCCCATTTAATTGATCGTGTGTTTCTGTTTTTTCCAGAGGAACACCTGGTATTTTTGAGCCAGTGGTCATTGAGACTCACTGAGAGAGCCGTCAACACACCTTCAGCCTCATCAAATGCTTAATGTTTCTGTGACATGTGATTGTCTGTGTATGTGCAAGCATGTGCATGTCTTCAGTGCACACAGCTTCATATACGACTACTGTCATATAGATATTGAGCCTCTCTACTATATTTAATCAGGTGGTGGGTGATGTTTAACTCATGATTACATTATTTTATGGACTAGCAGGCAGGGTTGTTTTTAACCTCAGACAAGGAGATAACCAGCCTTTATTTTTAGTTTTACTGGTGTTATACACACATTTGAAAATAATCCAATCTGCTTCTGTTGGTCATATTAATTTACAGAGTTCCTGTTGTGTATTGGTTAGATTCAGCGTGATCTGGTTTAAACTAAAACACTTCCAGCAGTTTAGATAGAATAGTTCTTTCCCTTTCTTGGGAAGCTTTTGTTGTGTACAGCAAAGAAGAATCAGAATTAATTCACCAGTGCAACTATAGAGCCTGGCAGGCACCAGGAGTGAACAGCTGTTCTCATGCACAGGAATGACTCATTCATGCTCCTAAACTTTATGTGCACAAATTAGCAATTGATATAAAGTCAGTGTAACAGCAGAAACTGATGTTATGGGACGTTGTGCCTACGTGGGTCAGTTAGGGGGTAGTACCCAGGGTGTTAGCATCATACCAGCAACCATGTTCTGGTGCGAAATTGAATTCCTTCATTTGTGTCAGTGTTGTCAGGTTATCTCATTCATTTCATTTGCCTGTGTTCTTCACATGCTTTGGCAGCTAATCTGTTCGGTGCAGTCATAGATGGATTACAGAGCTAGCCGACTGGGTGCACACTGGGCCCCTGGGCCCCTGGGCCGGAGCTTCAGTTTGAAGTGACTGTTCTTTCTTGTTGGGAAGTCAGTCAAACAACTATAAGGAGACAGAAAATGATTACACAGAGATCCACAAAATGACCTCAAAATGGTGCAAAAGGACTACAAAGATGCACAACAACTACAAAGACATGCAAAATGACCACAAAGACAGCAACAACCAAAATACATCTTTTGGCTCCCATGTCGGATAGATGTGGAGTCTTTATCGTGTCTGTGCTGATATTGTATTCACTAAAAGTTAGGAGGTCATGGGAAATGTAAATGATCGAAATGAGCCACTTGGATTTAGACAGATTTTACCCGATAAACAATAATCGTTGATGTGGGTAAAACCTGTGCTGAAAAGTGAAATCTAGTTTTACTCATCCAAGAGCATGACTTGCCAGGTTGAGAGCATCAGTTACTAATTTGTGCACACAAAGTAGTTGTTTCTCTGCTGACACTTTGAAAGTATTTCTGCTAAAAAAGAGGAACTATGAGCAAAACATGACTCTGTTATACTAATGACCATTATGTTGATAATATCTGCATGGTACTGATACCAGCTGTAATTTAGGTGTTTGAGTCTACTTGAGAATTTGCAGTAATCCAGTAATATTTTTCTTTACATTGGATGTGTCTCAGACCAGTCCCTGATCCTTTTTAGCAGCATCAGTGAGCAAGTTTGATAAAGCTGTGGCAGTTTTGTTTTTTTAATCTATTCTATTAGCTGCAGCTACACTTTCAAAGAGACAGCCCAAATGCAAACTCATGCTCAATGCACAAACATTAAAACCAAACTCCAGGCGTTCATGCTGCTGATGCGAGTCATTCAGTAAACCTATTCACAGTACAAAGATTTGCTGTGTACATTACTGAACAAAGAAGCAGTCTAAAGCAGTGAAACTTTGACCAGTGCTCTGTGCACAGATTACTTGAATAACACTCTGAAACCACTGCATCGTGGAAATTGTAGTGCAACACTGAAACAGCAGTGCATTCAGGAGGGGCTTTTTTTAACTCAAAAAACTTTTTGTTTGTAACAAAACACAACAATACATAGTAGTGGTAAAGTCAGTGTTCACTTTAACACACCATTGGATGAATGGAAAGCAGTACATAAACACATGTATTAACCTGTAGGGAGTGATGAACTGCATGTTCAGGCTGCTCACAGGAGATTAGGATTGTGATTGCTACACTGACTGGTGACCACAAATATGACTTTATCAGATGATTATTTTGACTTTTGAGTTGCTGAAGACCCACGAATGCAGCCTAAGTGTCATCAAAGCCTCCAACAGACACTCTAGGCAGACTAAGTCCAAATCAGCCTGGAGCTGAAGCAATAGCTTTTATCCTTTTGCTTTATTGTAAAGCTGTTTGATCACTGTAGGTGTACGTATTATACTGTTTTGCACATGTGAACTCTCTGAGGATTGTTAGAAACCACTAAAAGGAAATAAGATGGCATTGTTGTAAAAACAACAACAACAACAACAAAAAAACACCGAAACATGGCATCCTCTGTTTGTTTTTTTAAATTATTTTTTATTCCTTTATTCTTTTCTTCATTTCATTTCAGTGTCTGAGCTCTTGATGTAGGGCAACATGTTATGTCACATGACACCACAAAGCCTGCGTTCATATGGCTGGCCATATGCAACCATTTATCCTCTGCACTTAATATGTAATTATTTTATCCACGCTTGAGGTTTGAATGCTCTTGTAAACCCATCGACAATGTGAGGTTTTGTGGTGGTGCTTTCACAATTATATATATATTTTTTAACATACAAATAAGTTGAACCCAGAATGCAGGTATTTTAAAGGCCGGAGATCCTAAAACCATTGCCACATTGCAACAAACTGCACAGAAAAGTTCATTCAAGCTGCATTAATTGACTTAAGCAGGGCAACAACCTGTAAGTACAACATTGGCATCAGTGAGCAAATGCTTGTTCACACATCCGGAGCAATATTAGCATTTATTTGGAGTTGTGTTTCTGACCTCCTGATGAACGGGAGCCCTATACTGATACTTTAGAACCTCAGGTTGGGTCTATCTGATTCTGTAGCTGCTTAAAAGATACTGCTAGTTGCTAACTTTCTTTTGCTATTTGGTGCAGCACAGGTAGTGAACTTTGGGATTATTGTTGATTTTTAGCTGGAAATTTGGTTAATACCTGCAGAGTCTTTGAACTAGAAAACCAAAAGAATGAGGGGAACTGCAGAGCTGTTGATGATTCTCAGTGGGTTTGTCACCAAAGGTAACATTACATGTTACTGTTTGATCTATTTTTCATTTTTGATTTTTTTTTTTTTTAAATATAGGTGCAGTTTTAAGGTGCAATATTTTAAGATTCAGTTTACTGTTGGAACATTGGAACCACAGTTAGTGCCTTTTTGGATCACTAGATGGATCACTGCAGGACCAAATAGTTTCAAGATTTTTATTTAAGCCTGTATTGGCCTGTTCGCTGCTACTTCTGGCTTCACTGTGACTTCACAGTATTTATCAGAAAGACTAACTTCAATCAGAACTCCTGCACTTTGTAGTTTTAGGCAGTTTTTGTTTTGTGCTGCAATCGCTTAAATCCCCATTTTCAAGATGTAGTTAAATCGTACAAATTCTGTCACTTAGCATTGAGCTAGCAGTGACACTGTGGGCCTGTTGGCTGTAGTGAGGTCAGTGTCACAGCTTCTGCAGCAGCACAAAGCCCTTGTTGTGCCACGACTGACAGTGTACAATAGATCCTCGCCCCACGGGATGCATTTGTCGTTTGTGTATGTTAATGCTAATACTGTATGTATGAATGTGCCACTACTTGCATGCGGGCCATGCATATCTGACTGATGTGAAAGGACGTACTGTATATTTGATAGATTCTATCTTTTTATCTTTACTCTGGTCCATCAAACTCTGGTTAATAGCAGGTAAATAGTGCATAAGTGCTGCATTGATGCAAATACAGGAGGGTACTGGGGATATCTTTTCAAATGCTGGGATTCCAGCCTCAGCAGAGTTTTCAGTCGCCGTCCACACTACAATTTAAAAACTGTTGATTCTATGTATGGTGCAGTGCCAATACAAAGTTTTCATCCAAACACTGCCAGTTCTGTGTCTTTAAACAAATGTGCTGCCTCTTGAATAGCAGTTCATATTTGTTATTTCATGTCATAAATGTAGTTCTCTGCAGTGTCTGTGAGAGCAGGGGTCAGTCTCCTGTCTGGAATATGTGGGGTGAAAAGACAACATATACACGTAAAGAATGTTGCTTATACAATACATGTAACTATACAATCTATTTTCCTGTTTTTTCAGACCAGCAGGCTGGTCTTCAGATTGGTGCAGAACTATATGTAAAAGCTAATATTGTGTGGTGAAATACGACTGAACAGTGATTATTCATAGTGAAGGGTGTGGGTATTAGGGAATACATATGGTAAAGGGAACTGTCGACTACTGTGATTTGTTCTAGAAATACTTATTCTTTCCTTTGTACTTGACCGTGTGTAATCTGTGACATTATTAACATCATTTATACAACCAAATGCTTTCGTTGCATGTGATGAAAGATTTATTACATTTCTGGATGATTAAAAGTTAAACTGAATTTTTGGGAGTGGGATTATACTACATTTGTAGTTGTGGTACAGTATTGATTTACATTAAGAGGATGGGTTTGGTATAAGGAATAAACTGCAGAAACGATTTTCTACTATATTTTATAACTTATTTAATTCAAGTTGTATTTAGCAGAATGGACCAATAATTATCAGCTTTGTATAATTGTAATATATGTATTTAAACTATTAAAATGAGCTTTGTTATGTTTGATTGACACAATTTTGTCTGCATTTTTGGTACTCATTTTTATTATTTTTACTTCTAGTATACTTGTGAATGGAATGTTGTTGTTTTCAAATATGTTTTAACTGTTATCACTCCATGTGTTTAAATGTCAGGTGTGACGACCCCCAGGGTTGGCCCTATTTTGTCTGCTGTTGCCTGTTTTTTCCCCTTTTGTTTCAGGAGGCTGATGGGTGGAGTTGAGGCATTTGCAGTGATGCTGCACACCTGAGTAGGAGGGACTCAGGCTATAAATTAGATCTGTAGGAGCTTCCCACTCTCTTCCCCAGGGGCCTTATTTATCATCAGTGCATAGAAAGAGTTCTAAATTCTCTTGTAGGAATGAAATTTAGAATGTGTGTAAGTACAAAAAAATCTGTATCAGACGTGCATACGTGGGTCGTACGCACATCAGTAAGTCATTAGTGTTGGTAAATCCCACCTATTCTTAACCTCTGTGCTCGTGCACTTTCGGGATCATTTGCCTTCAGAAACGCCTCCAAATAACCATATACAGCAACAACACGCCTCTTTATAAAGCAAGTGAAGATTTATTTTTTCCTCACCTGACGTCATCATTGTGGCAAAAAGGGTGAACCTTTCTGAAACTCAAATCAAGGTACTTGTCAGCGAGGTTGAAGCAAACCAGAAAATCCCTACGCACACATCTGTGCGTCTGCACTGATAATAAATGAAGCCCCTGGTCTGCTGACAGAGATTGCCATTTTGTTGTCTTTTTGGTTTCCTGCATTGGCACACACCTCTCACTCACCCGAACAATGCAGACACACTGATTGACTGAAAAAATATATTTTGTGTATTATTGACTTATTGTTCTTCATTAAATATGTCATAATTTGCAGACTAAGGTGACTCGGTGGTTAGCACTGTTGCCTTGCAGCAAGAAGGTCACCGTTCGCGTCCCGGTGAGGATGCCTGAGATCTTTCTGTGTGGAGTTTGCATGTTCTCCCCGTGCAGCGTGGGTTCTCTCTGGGTTCTCCAGCTTCCTCCCACAAATCCAAAAACATTCTAAATTGTCCGTAGGTGTGAATGTGAGTGTGCTTGGTTGTCTGTCTCTAAGTGTAGCCCTG